ACACACACACACACACACACACACACACACACAGCTCCACATAATAATATTAATAATAAATATTATTATTATTATTATTATGAGTGTCCTGGATGGATAGAAAGGCGCTATATAAGTACAGTCCATTTACCATTTACTTCCTGCTCAGATGTGAGCATTCATTAATGAACCCTTTAGAGCAGAACCAAAAGTGGTGTGGAGCTGGGCTGAAGTGATCTCCATGTGTCATTTATTCATTAATTCACCTGTTCTGCTGATATCATTTCAGACGGTTATAAACTAGCCTCTGATCAGTATACTGAGCTGTGGATCAATCAGAGCAGAAACAAGGTTACACTCAAAATGTATGTGTTTGCAGGTTACCCTCATGCTGCTTGACCAGAACAACCGGGAGCACATAATCGATGCCTTCCGGCCTGACATCTCGTCCTCATCCTTCCAGAGGCCTGTCAGTGATATGAATATAGCCAGTGGCTGCCCACTCTTCTGTCCACTCTCCAAGTTGGACTCTAAAAACTCCTACATTCGTGATGACACCATCTTTATCAAGGCTATTGTAGATCTCACTGGACTCTAGACCAAACCTGAAGGCATAAATCCACCTCTGCCTTTTATTGCTACCTGTTGCATCAACCAGCCTTTATTTCATCACTAACTGGAAGTTCTCATGGAGGTTTGTCCAGTTCTTTCACTTTTGGTATCAAATGTTTGTAACAATATAACATTAAACCTGGTGGTGGTGATATTATTATTTCATTATTTTACTAATCACAATTAACTTTTTTAATCTAAGTAGTGATTATCCACCAAAGTGACTGACTGGTGGACATCCATCCCACCCTTCTGGACCTCAATTTTTTTGACAAACTGAGTCATTCCATGAACTGTGTAGAATCGGTTACTTGTGAAATAGCTACCAAACTACAACACTGTCACTTGTTCACTTCTTGTGGGAAACACGAGGTTCATCATTTTCAGTTTTATTGAACTGTGATTGTAAAAGTTAACCCTGGTTTTAGGAGTAAATAGTTCTCCTTGTTGTTATTAGTCCTTCTGGAAAATGAGAATTGACAAACACAGCTCAAAACCATAAAATAAAGCTTTATTAACGTGTTTGTTCACGTTTGACACATGCTGAGTCATTGTTGCCCAGGAGAAAATTGTGAAATTGTTAAGTTTTGCACTTTGCCAGTTGGCTAACTTGTCAACTTGTTATCCCACAGTGTTGACAAGCTTATTAGTAAGTATATTGTCATAAACAACTGCTTGTTGCTTTTAGTTTGGCTGAATTCAAATAAAAAAAGTGAATTCATAACAGAAGCTAAAGGTTTACGGGTAAACCATGCCAGATGCCCTTACTGATGTAACCTAGTCTTGAACCCACAATTTCAGGATTACAAGACTGTGGCACTGACCACCAAGCTACAACTGCCCCATTATCAGTTAAGTAATACTGGACTTAAAAAATCTTAAAGAAGATAACTGTAACCCTGGGTCTTTCACAGTTGTTTATTTTATTCTATTTTTTGCATTTAAATAATTAATATTAAAATGATAGTTCTGACAGTTTGATGTGGTGTTTTGTGAAAGATTAGAAACGTTTATGGGTTCTTCTCTAATGAAACGTTTAGTCTCTCCTCGAAGAAACTTCTTCAGTCTGAGAGTTTCAGGCAAAATTCAGGCTTTTAAGCACTGCCTCCATGTGACTGATACTCACATGATGTATCCGTTCAGAGAACCCGTTCAGAAGACCTATACAATATTTTTCTTTTTGATTTTTTACCTGGATTACTGAGATGCATCAGGACATTTTGAACCATTTTGGCCAGGATTGCCTGAAACTAGTTAGAGAGTTTGAGCAAACAGCAAGA